GCAGCCTGAGAGTTGTAAAGGCAAAATACTTTGCTTTGAGAAGAGATCCCCCAGAGCACCATGTTCCAGAATGGCAGAAGCCTAGGGAAGTTGTTCCTTGGGATTTGGTTCATAGGCACTCCATTCATACAGCCAAGACAGAAGGAAGCCTGGCTACTACTACAACTATCGGTAGACCTTGGCATCATCCATGTGGCACTGGTTTTAGGTGCATGCAGAATGCAAGAGTTACGGGGTCAGGAAGGCTTCCACCCTTATTTCAGAAGAAGGCCTGGGAGACCAGCCAGTGTGCCCCTGAGAGGGGAGTGTGTAAAGCTGTGAGTGTGAAACTGAAGGTGAAGTGGAGACCCCAGAAGTTTGGAGAATCCAGCAGTGTGGATTGTCTGAGGAAAACTGCAAGAAGGGGAGCAGAGCAGTTTCAAGAGAGAAGCCATGGGAAATACAACCACCTGATGTTCTGTAGGGGTGAACCACCCAAGCTCTTTAGCATTCACATCTTGCCACAGGTCCCTTTGGATGCTCACATGGACTTAATGTTTGCTCTGCTGGATTTTGGACTTACTTTTGTCCCATTCCTTTATATCTCCCTGTTTGTAATTCTGAATGGAAATGTCTATCTTGTACCATTGAATGCTGGAAGTATTTAACTTTCTTTTCATTTGTACAGGGAGTCACAGCTAAGTTTGCATTATATCTCAGAGGAGACTTGAGAGTTGGACTTTTCAGCAATGCTGAAACTGTTAGGACTTTGGCAACTCTTGGAGATGGACTAAATTCCTTTTTCATAAAGGGATGTGCATGAGTCTTTGGCGGTTCAGGGGTGCAGTGTTATAGTTTATGTCTAGATGTCCCCCCAAAGCCTCATGCAGGTCATAGGGCTTTTATGGAAGTGACTAAATTTAGAGTTTATGATTGATTCATGGTTCAATGCTGGAATTAAGGGTGCTAGGATTAAGGGTGGGTGACTGTTGGATCAGTCCACTGATTGAATTGGCATGCCCAAATCCCAGGAGACTGGATACAGTATAAAAGACAGAAAGAGGCTTGTCTCATTCTCTCTTGTTGCTTTCCACTGCCATGAACTATTGCCCCTCTGCCATGTGTTACACTGTCTTGGAACCAGCCAGTTATGCCCTGAAACCTCTACAAACTGTGAGCTAAATAAATGTTTCCCCATTTAACTTTGGGTATCAGGTATTTGGTCTCAGCAATGAAAAAATAATTAAGACACCAGGTATGGTGGCACAGGCCTATAAATTTCAGCACTTGGGAGGCTGAGGCAGGTGGATCACCATTACTTCAAGGGCAGTGTAAGCTACATAGTCAGTTCAAGGCCAGCCTGAACTCCATACTGAGACCCTGTCTCAAAAAAAAAAAAAAAAGTTGGCTTTTAGAGGTAGATCATCTATTCCCATAATGCCACCCCTTTTGAGTTAGCTATATTGTGCACCTTTTTTAGGATTCAGCAGTGTTTCCTTCTGTAGGAAGTTTTCTCTGAATTCTGAAGGCTAGGTTAAGTACACCTCCTTTGTGCTTTACCTTCCCCTCCAAATCCTTTATTCTCATGCAGCGTTATGTAGTATTGGCTCTCTACACTAGATTTTGAGCTCTTTGTAGGAATTGTGTTTGATTACTCTTTGTACAGCATTCAACCAAATTCATGATGATGTGTTATTATAGCATTGCTCACTCTTAGGTCTGTAGGCTACATGCCCATATTCAGGCCTTCATAAGCATCTGTTATATTATGGTTTTTTCCTGCAGCAGTGCTTACCCATTGTATAAATTGATGCTTAGTGGAGTTTCTAAAATGACTGTTCCTTACACTCACATTTGCCTGGCTATTGCTTTACGATTTTATCAAAGCTTCTGAGAGCATTAGTTAAAAGGAACATAGTCTTTAAAAATCTGATGTGCCATATCAGGTACTATGTTTATCCTCCTGGGAGTGCAGTGACTGTCAGATGAGCTTAGTGAGTTCCATACTGTACAATTGCAGGCTGGCTAGATCTCCTGAAAGGAGATCTTTCAGGATCTTTGCTCATAAAACTGTGTAAGTTTAGGTTGGTTGGTATACCTATAATTTTCTTGTCGGCAAAATCAGGATGATGAGACATTAACTCAGTTTAGTAAATACTTTTAGAGCAGTTACTGATGTGTAATAAATATATAAAAGGAATTTTGCATAAATAGACAGGTTAGCTTCCTGCAATAAATATGATATTCCTTAAAAACAAAGATGTACTTGTGTTTAAAAGGCAGTAATACAGGAGCCAGGTGTGGTATCACATGGCTATAATCCCAGCACTCTAGGAGGCTAATGCAGGGTGATTCCAAATTCAACCCCAGCCTGGCAAATTTAGCAATTTAACCAGATTCTGTCTCAAAATTTAAAAATAAAAATAAAAAAGGTCTGGGGACGTAGCTTAGTCTGAAGGCCCTGAGTTTCATCCCCAGTACCACACACACATATGAAATAGTACAACTTAAGTCAGAAAAGTAAATTGAAAAGGGAAAGTTGGGTGTTGGAGGAATTTAGTAAATAAGTTACAGAATAAGGAAGAAGAAAATAATTGGTTCCAGCTTCCCTGTTCCTGGTGATAACAATAGCTCTTTAATCTTCTAAGCCAGCTTGCTAGTCAGCTCTACCAGGGTTTATAACACTGAATATTTACTTGGTGGAATCATAAAGTCCATGCCACATAGAGAGCTACTGAAAGGGAATAAGGAAAAACAACTGATATGTCAATGCCTTAGTCCATTTAATCTGCTATAATAGAGTACAGAGTGGCTTTTGTTTTTTTCAGTACTAAGAACTGAATTCAAGATCTTCAGACTGAGCTACATCCCAGGCCCTTTTTAAATTTTTTGAGACAGGGTCTCAGTAAGACTCTAAATTACCCAGCTTGGGCTTGAATTTACAGCCTTCCTGCTTCACCTTCCCAGAATGCCAGGATTACAGACCTGTGCCACCATGCCCAACTCTGAAAGGCTTTTACATATTTATTTATTTGATTTTTAATTTTTTGAGATAGGGTCTTACTATGTAGTTCAGGCTGGCCTTGAACTATGTAGCCCAGGCTGGCCTCAAACTCACAGTGATCTTGTCTCAGCCTCCTGAATGCTGAGATTACAGGTGTGCACCACCATGCCTAGTTCTGCATGGCTTTTAAACAACAAATTTGTTTCTCACAGTTTTGGAGCTAGGAAGCCTAAGATCACGACACTGGAAGATTCAATATCTGGTGAGGGCCTGCTTCACTTTTCACAGATTTCACATGGTAGAGGCAAAGGGAACATTATTTTCTTTCTTGGGGGTGGGGGGATCTTGCTAGGTACTCCAGGGTGACCTTGAACCCAGGGTAATCCTCCTACCTGCCCCCCAAATTATGGGATTACAGGCATGTGCCACCATGCCTGGCTTGAGTTTCATAGTTTTGAGGTATAAAGGTCAAGCATTTGCTACTAGAATTTGCCTGATGTCTGTCTCATGATGAGATAGAACTACAGGTTATTAGAAGACCACAGACATAAAATGTCATTTTCATCCCATTTCATGTGTAAATACTATCAACATAGCTTTCACTCTTTCAAAGGGGTGGGTGTTATTCTAAACAGGAGAGTCTACAAATATAACTTAGACTTTAAGATGTACTCCTATATGTCAGAAAACAAAGTAGTATTGAACAAAGCAAGAGACTGTTAGAATTCTGACTCTGCACTAGCTATGGGACCTATAACATTTATCTCTTCCACCTTAGCTATTAGGAGACCCATACACAACCGGCCCTCTGCATCCACACATTTTATATCCAGATTCAACCGACTGCAGACTGAAGATATCCTGAAAAAAAAAACAAAAAAACAAAAACCTCACTAAACATATCCAGATTTCTTGTTATTTATTATTCCCCCCAAAATGATTTACATAGCATTTATGTTGTATTAGGTATTTATAAGTAATCTAAAGTATTTAAAGTATACATGGGGAATATATATAGGCAATATGCAAGCACATGATTTTATATAAGGGACTCGAGCATATTCAGATTGTGGTATGGGGAATAGGAAGGGGCTAGGGCTGAAACCCATTCAGAAAATGCATTATTACTACATTAGGAGCCAGACTGAAGTGGCAGATACTTGTAGTCTCAGCTGCAGCACTTGGGAAGCTGAGGCAGGAAGATCTGGACAATATGAAGCCTGGGCAACATACTGAAAACCCAAATCGACAATAGCTTTGGAGACAATGATAAATGACCATGCCAATATAATGTCAATACTATATAAATACGTTATTGGTTGTAGAGATAAATGTAAGTGGCTTATCAATTTGTCATATTCTTTTCTGTTCGACGGGAAAGAATTTTTGTTTTTGAGACAGTCTCGCCAGTATTCCAGGCTGGGTTGAAATTACTATGTAGCCTAAACTGGCCTGGGACTGGTGATTCTCTTACCTCGGCCTCAGGAATGCTGGCTGGCATTTGAGACATACGCCATCGTGCCTGGTTTAGGATTTTT